GGCCGGGGATCGAACCGGCGCTGCAGAGGCTGCGGGCAGCTTTGCAGCCCAGTGCTTAACTACTGTGCCACCAGGGCAGGCCCTGCTAGCAGTCTTCTATGTAGCACCTTCCATTTGGAAAATGAATTCCTGCCTGCAGTGGGTCCTTTGCAGCCTCCTTCCCTTCCATCCCTTCCTTCTTCCCTTTCTTTCTCTCTCTTGCATGCAGGTACGGGCAAAAGCACATGTACTCATGCACGTGCACGCATACACACACACACCCTCTCTTATCTCTCATCAGTCCCTTCTGCTCCCTCTCCTTTTCCATTTTTCTTCAGTAATTTCACTCAGTTTCCCCATCATCTTTCCTTTTTGCCTCTCTAAGCTATACAGAAGTCTTTTCCAGAATGGAAAAGCCTTGCTCTAGAATTAAGAGGGACTCAGAACTGAAGCTCAGGAGTCTTGGCCTCTTTTCTGATTGACTCCTGATTCTGGGTTCATGGCTCTCACACTCTCTCCCCAGAGGAATTACAGACATGAGTATTTTTATGTGCCACACAGAGAGGATAAAAGAGTAAAATGTGGCTGCTGTGTATTGAGCTGCATTATTTGCCTCATTCTATACCAACCACTTTACATACCTTTCCTTGTAGTATTCTTTTTGACAACAGTCCTACTATGTGAAGTTATATTCCCACTTAACAAAGAAAACAATGGTCACCAAATTTCCATATCCATACTTAGTTTCTGGTGGAGCTGGGCATCAACTCAGGTTCAATATTCCAAATTCCCGTTCTGCAAACCACTGCCCCAAAGTGAATGCCGCAAAACTAAAGAGTATGTGTGGTGTGCAGTAGAAAGGCTTTTGTGATTATTGAATAAGTTTGGGGCATTCTTGGTTAAATGAAATTCAGTGGGTTCCCACCGGAGGTGAACGGCGGCTCAGGATTTGGCACAGTCACACTCTGCCTCTTTCCTGACAACACTGTGCAGCTGCCTCAGTGGCTGCCAGGAGGAGGCTAGACAGTGCATTAAAAACACACCTATTTTTAAGGCTGTGCAGAGTCCAAAGACATTAATAAGAATGCATACTTATGCTAAATGACATTGCAAATGTAACTGTCACACATCCTTGTTTCTTCTAAAGATAATTCATAACCAAAAGGCGGGCACATGTTTCAGTGGTGACAACAGCAGAACAATCCCTTACTCCTGATTGCTGCCTTTTCAGTAATTAACACGCGCCATATAGATTGAAAGGTCATTTCTTACCCTCTTTTTCTCTAAGAGTTTTTAATATTTACCAAATAGTGTCGCATTATTGGAAATGTCATGGGCTTTACAGCATAGGGGTGATGCCACGCAGTGATTCATGAGGACTTCATTCATTAAGAAAATTACAACTCATTTATTTGGGTGCTATTTCTCTTCTCTCAAAGAATTCTCTGATTAAAAAAGTGAATTATGTTGACTTGCTTTTATAACATATGTGGCTTCCAATTAAAATTTTAAAAATAATGTGTCTCAGCCTTAAATATGTATTTTGGTCTTAGTGATCAGTAGACGTTCAATGCAAAAGTTGTGAAGGCAAACGCAATGCAGTTCAGAGGAGAATTCTTTTTCCTTCTTCAAATTGCATGACATCTCTGTTGGACTGGTTTTTCTAACCAGACAGCAGGGAGCCATCCTTGAAAAACCACCTCTGTTCCCCATGTCCAGTCTATCACCAGGTTCTGCCTATTTTACTTCTAAAACTTTAAACTTGGTGGGGCGAAGCATATATTGTTTAAAAATGAACAATGGTGTAAAAAATTTTTAAAAATTAATTGAAAAAGTTAAAAATAATAAAAAAAAACTTTTTATTTAAATCTGTTCCCTCTCAGAACCTTGACTCTTTCTCTAACCATTTAATTGTTGCCACCATGACAACATTCTGACTAGATTTCCTTCTGCCCACTCTCCTCCTGCACCCCCACTCTGCATAGTAGCTGGAGAAGTGTTTTAGAAACTATGATAAAAGACTTGGTATTTTTCCCCATTACATTGTGGACCAAGGTTCTTATAAAACATAAGATAATGGCAATAAAGATGTGCTCATATGTGGCAGCAGTCAGAATGCTGTGGATGTAGAGAGATTTTTAAAATACATATATAAATCAGATCACATCCATCCTCCCCGATTCTGATTTCAATTAAAATACAAACTAAAATAGCATCACCTACATGTCCCAGCCGATCAGACTGCTGTGCTCCTGCCCAGTATGTCTTCTGGGCTTTCAAGTCCTCAGAATGTGTGTTTGCAGATAACCCTCTCTGCAGTGCTTTCCTCTCTTGCTGCTTAACGCCTAAATTCTTCAGGTCTGATCTTAAATATCTCTTAATGCCTCAAATGCTCTATCTACGAACACTGCTAATGACATTTTACTCTGTTCCCATTAAAAGATGGGCTCTATTTCCACCCTTTGAATGTGGTAGGCTCTGCTTGTCAGGAGAATGCAGTGAAGGGAATTCTGTGTCAGTTTTCAGCCTTGACCTTGCTACTGACCATTTGCATGTCTGTCTGTTGGATTAGGCACTAGAAGAATGTTTCCTCCAAATTAAAACATACTGTTGCCCAAGATCCTCCATGCCGTGAGGAAGCCCAGGCTTGCCACAGGGAGAGGCTCCATTTAGAGATGGATGCCTGATCAGTTCACATGCCAGGGAAATGAGTGAGGAAGCCTTCACGTGACTCCCATCTCAGCCACCGTTAACTGCGTCCATTGAGACCTCAAGTGAGAAGTACTCAGATGAGCTCTCTACACCAGACCCACACCAATAATAAACTCTTGCTTTTAGTCACTGTTTTCCTTGTTATATGGCAACAAATAACTGGACGAAGATCTCCCTGCTGTTATTTGATAGTTACCTGTTGTTTTCCCTTTATGGATTGTAAATGGTAAATATTGCTATGAGTCCTTTATCATTTTGGATTTGCTTCAGAAGCAGAACCTGAGATGATGATTTCATTGCAGGTGCTCCTAGGTCACATAAAAAGATAATTTTCCTGCATTAAGTATGCATTTCCTTTTTCCTGCCTACTGGATGTTTAGATGCAAAATTGCCTCAATAATCAAAGGACTGAACAGCTTATAGTTAAATTTACCTTTTGTTTGTCACTATCCAAGGAGGTGGTCCCAGGAGCAACTCAAGGATGGGTCTACTGGGGACCCTATAGAGACTGTGGAAAATTCCTCACACTTGTCCTGCAGCCAGGGAATGCAAAAAGCTGGTCATCTACCAACTCCCGCCATCCTTGATTGGGGGTCACTTTTGTTAACTCTCTGACACTTTAGCCTGTACAGCAAGAAGGTTCAGCACATTTCTGCACCTGGAGAATGGCTTTAGGCAGAGAAGAGCAGGTCACCTGTATAGAAAACTCCGTAGGAACCTGTGGGGTGGGAGGAGGAGGTGCTGTTAGCTGTAAGTTACCCGGAGCAGAAGGCAGGTCTGTTTCATTTCCTGGTGTCCATAGGGCATGCAACAGATATTTGTTGAATGAGTAAAAGGAAAGACGCCTCATTTTATAAGACTGTAGTCATGATCTATATTCTAGAAGTCTCAGGTTTTGCTGTTGACCTTGGCACACCCTCTCCAGACCCTGATTCTCTGCATTATGAAATAGCAGGGCTGGGGTGCATGATTTCCATAAATCCTCCCAGCACAATATCCTATGCCTTATGAATAGTGTGTGTGTGTAACCTTATTAGACCAAGAGATCATATCCCAAGACAAAGAAATTAGTTGGCTTTACCAAGAAAAACTGTTTTAACAAGAAAGTGTAACTAATGGAATCATGAGAATTACACTGCAATACTTCGTTCTTTTAAAAGGTTAATTATTAAATAAATTGGGCTACATATACACAATGGAATTATTTAGCAGCTATTAAAATCAAGTTTATGAGGCGTATTCATGCCATTGAAATGCAGGCATATATTATATATGAAAATGTGTGTGAACAAATATATATCTAGAAGAAAAAGATCTGTGCTGTCATTGCAGGTTGGTGAGATAATTGGTGTTTTTTATTTTCAGATTTAAACTTAATTTATACCTTCCAAGTTATGGACAATAGGCATGTGTTATTTTTATGATCAGAACTTATATAACAAGTGTACATATAAATGTGTTCAAGTGGTGTGAAGTTAAGAAAATGCTATCAAGGAAACTGGCCCTCCTCCTGACCTCACTCACTTGCTCATTGTCCTTATGTAGACGTTGAAATTTACACAAGATGTGTGAAGACTGTTGCATAAATGCATATGCAGGCTTTCTCATTTATATATATATTTATATATATTTAATATATTTATATATATTCTAATATATATTTATATATTTAGTACATATAAATATTAAATATATGTTAAATATATATGTATATATATAAAATTCACACACATATATGTGTGTGTATATATATCACACTGAATCTTGTATCTTTCACAGTCTGTATCTATGAAATGGGTATATCATACAGAATTTACATAATAGTTGCAGAAATCAAAGGATATAATTATTATGAGTACATTTAAGGACAAATAAGCTAAGCTATGATGAGAAATGGGCTTAGAAAATAATCAGTAGAGTACGTCACAATAAGTAGTTTCAAAGATAGGGGCATGATAGGCTTGTTCATTCTTCCGGAGTCCAGCAACTACTCCTGGGCACCCTAGTAGGTGATCTAGGGTTAGAAGACATGGGTGGTCTGAGGCACTGAAATAAGCTTAGAGAAGAGGGCATGAGGGAGGGCTCTATGATCCTGTTTTCAAGTGTTTAAAAGATACAACACAATAGCAGCTTACTGAGACTTAGTGTTACAGGCTAAATTGTGTCCCCCCCCGCCCACCGAATTCATTGAAGTCCCAAACCCCAGTACCTTAGAATGTGAGTGTATTTGGATAAAGGTCTTTAAAGAGATGATTGAGTTAAAATGAGGCCATTAGAGGTGGGCTCATCATGACTGCTGTTTTTATTAGACACTAGGAATAACAACGTGAAGAGGGAGCAAGAGAGTGGCCATCTGAAAGCCAAGAAGTCAAGCCTCAGAGGAAATCCACCCTGTTATCACCTTAATCTTGAACTTGCAGCATCTAGAACTGTGGGAAAATAAATTTCTGTTGTTGAAGCCACCTAATGTGTGATATTTTGTTATGGAAACCCTGGAAAACTAATACAGACATTAAGTAATTTATTGATTCATATATTCATCATTTATATAGGCCAGGGTGGGTGTGTCTTAGTCAGTTTGAGTTCTATAAGAAAATACCATACACTGAGTAGCTTAAACAACAGCCATTTGTTTCTCTCAGTTCCAGAGGCTAGAAGACCAAGACATTCAATTTCTGGTTAGTTTGTCAGCAGCCTCCTCCTTGCTGTGTACGCATATAATCTTCTCTCTCTTTATGACACTTACCTTGTAACAGTCCCAGCCTTCATCTAACTCGTTACCTTTTAAAGGTCCCAAATTCCATCACATTGTGGGGGTTAGGGCTTCAACATATGACTTTGGGGAGAGCACAAATATTCAGTCCACAATAAGGTGCTAGAATGAAATCATGTTTAAAGAAATCAGAGGACAACCAAGTTTCATTCTGTATGAAGAAATGTACGGACTCAAGAGCAGTATTAGAGTGGATGCCCCACTTAGCCAGCCCATACATTTGTTTGTTGAGGGTCCATCGTATCCAAAACCCTATCTAGATTGCTCTGGATAGGACTAAGCAAAGGTAGAAAATAGACTCCCAACATTACAGCAGTGAGTTGGTGGTGCATAGAATTTCCCAAAGAAATACTACGTGAATCACACATCCTCTTTTCTTCCTACCCCTCAAATTTTATTGGTTTGCAATTGGTCACATAACTATATATTGGGGGAGAACAACTTCACACCTCCAAATGTGCGCATGCCTCGTTCGCCTGCCACCCATGTTCCGGTGCTAAAACCCCATCTCCTCCTCCCTCTCCATCCCCTGTGGTAACCGTTATATTGCTGACAGACTCTAAGACTGACTTTTGTTCTGTTTTGCGAGTTTCTTTGGTTATTTACATTCTGTCAGTGAATGAGGCCATCCAGCTCTCTTTCACTTTCCGACTTATTTCACTTAACATCATTACCTAAAGATCCATCCGTTTTGTCTCCCATAGCACTATTTCATCTTTATGAATAACTGTGTAGTATTCCATTGAGTACATAGTCTACAGTTTCTTTATCCAGTCATCTGTCCGTAGGCATTTAGATTGGTTACATGACTTTGCTGTTGTGAATAATACTGCTCTGAGCAGAGGTGGGCACAAAATATTTTTATATTGGTGTTTCCATATGCTTTGGGTAAATACCTAGGAGTGGCATTGCTAGCTCATGTGACATTTCCACTTTTATCTTTTTGAGGAATCTTCATGCCATATTCCACAGAGGCTGTGCCAAATTACAATGTCACCAACAATGGATGAGGGTTCTTTGACTCCTTTGTTATAAATTAACTGCTCTTATATGTGTGGCTTATTGCTGGGTTCTCAATTCTATTCCATTGGTCTGTGAGACTTTTTATTTAATATGCTATTTTTATTTCTGTCACTTTGCAATGTAGTTTGAAGTCTGGGAATAGAACTATTCATCTTTTTTTTTTTTTTTTTCAGGATTGCCCTACTTAGTCAGGATCTTTTGAAGTTCCATGTAAATTTCAATAATGTTTGTTCTATTTCTTTGAAAAAATGACACTGAAATTTTTGATAGGAATTATATTGAATGTTTACATTGCTTTGGGTAAGATGGCCATTGTAACCATGTTAATTTTCCAATCCATGAACAAGGAATATCTTTGTTTCTTTGTGTCCTCGATTTCTTTTTTAACAATGTCCTGTAGTTTTTACTAGACAGGTCTTTCACTTCCTTTGTTGTGTTTATTCCCAGATAGTTTATTCTTTTGGAAGCATTTGTAAATGAAATTGTTTTCTTGATTTTTTTCTTCTAGTTCATTGTATGTAGGAACACAACTGAGTTTTGTATATTGATTTTTGTAGCCTGTCACTTTACTGATCTGTGTTTCTGAAGTGTTTTATTGGAGTCTATAGGGTCTTTTATGTATATTATTATGTAGCCTACAAATAGTGATAGTTTTACCACTTCTTTCCCAATCTGAATTAATTTTATATCTTTCTCTTGCCTAATTCTCCTAGCTAGAACTTCCATTATTTGTTGAACAGTATTGGCAAAGTAGACATCATTGTCCTGCTCCTGATCTTAGGGAAATGCTTTCAGTCTTTCACTATTAAGTATGATGATGTCTGTGAGGTTGTCATAGATGGTCTTTACTATGTTGAGCTAACCTTTTATTCACATTTTACTGAGTTTTTATCATCAATGTTGAATCTTGTCAAATGCTTTTCCAGATTCTATTGAGAGAATCATGTGATTTTTTTTTAACCTTTTTCATTGTTGATGTGGTAAACGACATTGATTGATTTGTATATGTTGAACCAATGTTGCATCCTGGGAATGAATCCCACTTGGCATATTGATGGATTTGTTTTGTCAAGATTTTGTTGAGAGTATTTGCTCTGTTTTCATCAGAGATGTTCATGTGTATGTAGTGTGTGTGTTTATGCTATCTTTAATTTTGCAATCAAGGTAATCTTGGCCTCATGAACAGTTTTTGGAAACTGTTTTGTCCCTCTTCAGTTATTTTGTAGTGTTTGAGAGGAATAAGTCTTAGATCCTCTTTGAAGACATAGAATTCCTTAGTGAAGCCATCTGGTCCTGGGCTGCTTCTCCATGGGAGAGTCTTGATTTCTCTTTAGATTTCTGTGCTTGTAACTGGTCTGTTCAGGCTATTGATATTTCACCCTGATTCAGTTTGAAGGTGTATATGGTTCTAAAAATATGTCGATTTCTTAAAGATTATCCGATTTTTGATATAAATATGTTCATAGTAGTCTCTTAAGATCCTCCGATTTTCTCACTCATTATAATTTCTCTCCTTTTAGATTTTATTAGCACTTTCTTCCCCTTTTTTTGAAGATGTATTTTTATTTATTTATGCATAGAAGAACTGGCGTGTATGTAGGCCAGAGGTATAGGGGTGAGGGGGGCAGGATTCACTACATAGAGTGGGGAGCAGAACAGGCAAATGTACTGAAATACACTGCTGAGGAAGCAGCAGGTGAGCCATGTGGATTGTCTCCCTGGCCTGGAATTGAACTCATACCACAGGGGCTGGTGGTAGCTTGATAGTATTGAGACTTTAACCCCTGTGCCACCAGGGAGGACCTGCTACCCTTTTTTCTTATTTGAACCTAGCTTAAGGGGCTATCAATTTTCTTTTCAAAAAACAGTTATTGGTTTTATTGACCTTTGAGCTATCTTTTTGGTTTCTGTCTGTTATTTCCACTCTAATTTTTATTTTGTTTCCTCTGCTGAGTTTTGGTTTTATCTGTTATACTTTTTCTAGTTTATTCAGATATAAAATTAAAGTTTTTTCTTATTTATTGATATGTACATGTATGGCTATGTATTTCCTCTTAACACTGCTTTTTAGTGCATTCCATATATTCTGGTAGTTCTTTCATTTTTGTTTGACTCCAAATAAGTTTTTTAACTTCTTTGATTTCCTCACTGATACAGGATTTATCTAAAAATGATTTTAGTCTTCCCACATGCTCTTCTTCACAGTAATGCTAACGCTCTCCAACCCTCCAACTAACTAGAACTACATTCTATTTTATTTCCCTTAATTCTAAGCCCAGATATGGCATCCAATAACTTTTAAATATACTGCATGAAAGATTAAATAATCTTTGTCTCTGCTCTTCTTTGGGACATGCACCTTGGGAACTATGAGTCAGCATGTAACAAAACAAAACCAGCTACCCTGAACTCCTTGGACAGGAGAGCTTGCATGGGGATGGAGAGGCCACACACAGGTGGAGAGAGATGCCCCAGCTGCTGCAAGTCCACTGTTGACAAGTCTTTTCAGTCCAGTACCAGACTGAGAGTGAAGAAGCCTTTGAAATGACCCCAGTCTCTGCTCCATTTCACTGCAAACTCATGAGACACTCTGGGTCAGAGCTATGCAGCTACTCCTGAATTCCTGACCTCTAGAAACTAGGAGACATAATTGATGACTATTGTTATTTTAAGTCACTAAGTTTTGGGGTGATTTGTTCTACTGCAATAGATAACATCGGGTTTAAGCAGTGGGGAAGGTGTAAATTGACATATCACTAAGTCACTTCCAATTCCAAGTCTATACTTAGGTCATCATTATTCATGACAATTAATAAAAGATGATGAAGGCTTATCCACAGGCCAGCCTGGTTCAGGTGGAAGCCCTGGTCTTGGGCTTAATAAAGCTATTCTGTCACCCATGACGCTCTTTATGTGATGACTTATATGTGTGTACTGTGCTTTTCATTTCATGTTGCCCTACGTAAAAACATTCATGTAACTTTGTTATTAACAGTGGCCAAATAGAAATTAATCAGTGGAAAGAGAGAGCCAGCTCTTTAACTGATGGCTACAAATGTGGTCATGGGACAAGGTCCTATTAAAGTTTGTGGCTGTATATCTTTTATATATTCCATCTGGAATTGTTCCCCCCACTAATGCAAAAAGCACCCATAGACTCGTAAGACAATAAAAACATCTCCAAAGAGGGTATCACAGACAATTTTTGTTACTTGAAAGTTACTGCAATTTAAAATTTTTTTGTAGCTGCTTTTTGGATGGACTTGCTAAAGTCATTCAGTCATTTGGCATAACATGGACATTAATGCATTTTCTCACCTGTAACTTTCCATTTTCATCCTTAATAGATTTAGTAGTTAAGAATACAGAATTTTATACTGATTCTGTCTAAATAGAAAAATCAAAGATGATAATCTGAAAAAGCATCTAGAACATAGATATGTTAAGGCCTGTGGTATGTATGTGTGTGCATGTGTATCTCCTACCATGTGGCAGGCACTGTACTACTCAGCAGAGATGCAATGGGAACAAAAAATAGCACACCTGGTTTTCATCTTTATGAAACTTATAGTCTAGTTAGAAAGATAAAGAGTCAGGGGCCTCCCTGGGGGTGCAGGCATTTGAACACTGCACTGTGAAGCTGTCCTCAGTCTCTGTAGC